TGGCTCACCGATCGCATGTCATACCGTGCGGACATCCCAGACTGCCATGCTGACCGGAGACAACGTCTGCGTTGCCACCCAGAGTTATTTGGTGAGATTCGACTTCCAGTTCTCCTCCTCTGAAGACCCCGTTGTGAAATCGCTAGGGGGTGTTATTTAATGAACTCGAACTACTTATTGAACCATTTCCAGGTAAAGGACTCGTTCAGAGATGTCAGTGACGCCAGAATTTCTACAGTGTGCTTCCCACGCGTCATTTTCTGGCAAGGACACGAGGATTCCCAGGAGGGTGTTTAGGGAGACTCTAGAATTCTGTGCCAAAAAACTTTTTTTTACTTGAGCCTAAGGTGCTAATCGGACATGTTTCTTATAGATAAAAATATATATTTGAGACATTGCAAGAAGGATCCTTTGGCAACGTAAGACAGTTATCACCTTCCACGGGGCCTGCAGGGAAAAGCCTAGAATATGCAGGCGTGCGCTCATCTGGACAGGGTGAACCCCTCCGCTGGATTGGACGGCGTATTGCTAGAAATAATGAAATTCTCCGATTGGACCGAATCATACTCGGAAGTGGAAATATCACTGATCTGGAAGCTTTTGTGTTTGTTTGTTTTTTAATGCAGAACTTCTTTGATTAAACGCAGAAATGTAGAGGTTGGTCAGTCTTCACCTTGCCGATCATGTATATATACTTTTGTGATTTCAATGGAAGCTTAATGATTTGCATGTTTGACCTATTTTTTCTTTTCCTTTGGTGTGCTCATTTTAATGTGGGGTCATCCAACCTTCTAGAACGCCCCTCACAACTTTCCCCCAAATCTTGGAACTATTATGAGGTGGGTGGGTGGGTGTGTCTGTGTGTCCACAAGGGTGTACAGAGGACGCGGGCGCCCCCTTTAGGTGGCTCTCTGCTGTCTTTTCTCTTCAGAGCAGTCCTATGGTGTGGACAGGACGGGTGATGCTACCATTTTGTATTGAAAATAACCTAAAGCCTAAAAAAAAGCTATATAATTTATTTTTTTGGAATAAAGAAACTTTAGAATATTCAGTTATTTTGAACCACAATGATGAATCTGTGATGTGTATATGGTGTGGGCAGGGTACAGATGAAATAATCTTACACTGACAGTCTCAGTAAATCTGATTGTAAATTTTAATTTTAGCCGTAGACTGGCCGAAAGAAAGAAAGAATTACGATAAAGGAAAGTCCTGCACAGAGAAAACGGGAAACAGTGAAAAGTTTTTCAGTTCAAGGTCTAGCTTCTAAGGAGACGATGACTAGCTTTTCATTGGTTTCATGCGTGTATTAAAAAATGTCTTGGTTGTATTAAAAAAAAAAAAAAGGTATTTTTTTGAGTACGTAGGCTTCTCATTTTGCTGTCGCCCAGACTGGTATTTAAGTAAATGGATTAAAACCTTAGTCTGTCCTTCAACCTGGCTTTCAGTTGCTTGTTTGGGAAATGTGTCCGTTCATTCTATGGCCAGGCTGCAGGCCGGTGAGGCTTTTGTTTGCTCCCGGGGCTCCTGTCCTCGCAAGCTCCCTTGTCGCCCATGCAGAGGACAAGAACCCACAGGTGGAACTGTCCTGGAGGTAATCCCAGCTGCTCTCGAGTTCCCATCAAAGGAAGTCCCTTTTGAACTTGATACCGGCTGGCCACTAACCCCATGAAGCGTCTATTCACTGGGGGCCAGATTTTGCTGCGTGGGGCAACCACACCTCCACCAAGGGCCCTCACTGTCCTTCCCGGGGGCAGGATCTGAGGTTCTGCTGGTTGTCTCAGAATGAACACCCCACCTTCCCTTGCTTTGCTGTCGTATTCTTTATTTATTTTTTTACTATTAATCCATTCATATCTCAGTGCTTCGCTTCTTCCTTCCCCAAACACACCGTAGAGCAGTGATGGCGAACCTATGACATGCATGTCAGAGGTGACACGCGAACTCATTTTTTTGGGTTGATTTTTCTTTGTTACAAATAGCATTTAAATATATAAAATATCAAAAATGTCTTTGTTTTACTATGGTTGCAAATATCAAAAAATTTCTATGTGACACGGCACCAGAGTTAAGTTAGGCTTTTTCAAAATGCTGACACGCTAAGCTCAAAAGGTTCGCCATCACTGCCATAGTGCATTTCCTGCCCTTCTCGGTGGCCAAGCAATATTTTTTAATATGTTTTTATTTTGAGGTTCTGCTGGTTGTCTCAGAATGAACACCCCACCTTCCCTTGCTTTGCTGTCGTATTCTTTATTTATTTTTTTACTATTAATCCATTCATATCTCAGTGCTTCGCTTCTTCCTTCCCCAAACACACCGTAGAGCAGTGATGGCGAACCTATGACATGCATGTCAGAGGTGACACGCGAACTCATTTTTGTGGGTTGATTTTTCTTTGTTACAAATAGCATTTAAAAATATAAAATATCAAAAATGTCTTAGTTTTACTATGGTTGCAAATATCAAAAAATTTCTATGTGACACGGCACCAGAGTTAAGTTAGGCTTTTTCAAAATGCTGACAACGCTAAGCTCAAAAGGTTCGCCATCACTGCCTTAGTGCATTTCTTGCCCTTCTCAGTGGCCAAGCAATATTTTTTAATGTGTTTTTATTGACTTCAGAGAGGAAGGGAGAGGCAGAGAGAGAAACATCCATGGTGAGAGAGAATCATTGATGGGCTGCTTCCTGCACGCCTCAAACTGGGGATCGACCCCCAACCCGGCATGTGCCCCCACCGGGAATGGAACCGTGACCTCCAAGTTCACAGGGCGACGCTCCACCCACTGAGCCACACCGGCCGGGCCATTTTATCCTGATTTCTAAAAAGGTAGTGAGACCTTACCCTTATTTCCAAGTGGGAATAGTACCGCTATCCGCAGGCCTCAACCACGACCCTGAAAATAAGAACCATCTGGCCCCGCGGCCATCCCTCAGCTGACAGATGTCCCCACCACGGGGTCTCCGTGTGTCCTCGGGGCTTTCCAAGACCCTCTCCTCCAGCTTTCCTGGCGCGTGAGTGAAAACGCATGGCGCCCGGCTTGGTCTCCGTTCTGAGCGGCCAGAGGGCCTGGACCACGTGTGCGTTTGCACGTTATAAACTGATTTCTGCGCCTTCGCCAAGTGCATCCAAATGCCACTCTCCGCCAACCACCTCCTCCATCCACACCGCCTTCCGGAACCGAGCCGCCCC